GCTGCGACGCCTGAGGCGTTTGACAAGGTGATGAACCTCAACGTCAAGGGCCCGCTGTTCCTGGTGCAAAAGGCCGTTCCGCATATGCCTGCTGCGGGAGGAAGTCGTGTGATTTTCGTCTCGACCGGTCTCAACACGGCGTCGGGGGTCTCGCCGGCTTATCTGCTGTATGTGGCTAGCAAAGGGGCGGTGGACCAGCTGACGAGGGTGCTGTCGAAGGAGTTGGCGGGGAAGAGGATCACGGTGAATGCCGTTGCGCCGGGGCCGACGGCGACGGATTTGTTCTTTGAGGGCAAGTCGGAGCAGGTGGTGCGGATGCTGGAGGGGCAGAGTCCGTTTGATCGGCTGGGAACTCCGGAGGAGATTGCGGAGGTGGTGGTGTTTCTTGCTGGGGAGGGGGGTTCGTGGGTTTCTGGGCAGGTTATCAGGACAAATGGGGCGAATATGGTGTAGGTGTCCAGAGTTATGTGGTTGTGAGTTGGAGGTGAGAGTCGGCGGGGAAGGCCCTTCAAGTCATCATAGTCACCGAGGCAGATTTGCAGAGTCTTTTGCGCAAGCTCAATAAACTTCTCTTCTATGTGTCCCATGAATGTAACCAGCACACACGGGCATCCGGAAACCCCTCACCATCATGGCAGCCCCGTTCCACTGCAGAGAAGAAGTGTCAGTCCAGCCCAAAGCCCTTCGCCGGCCAGCGTCGTAGCCCCTACTTGAGCGCACCGACGGACGCTTTTATCACCCGTTGAACCTTTAGTCGAGGCTGGTGTGGTTTTCAGAGCTGAAAGACTTCCAGAGCTGGCTGCCGGTGTGATAGATGCCCCATTGAGCTTGTAGGAGCTGTCAGCTCGAGGGGCGGAGACAGCGACAGCAACAGGGGCAGCGACAGAAGCAGGAGCAGGAGCCGGGACCGGAACAAGGGCCGGGGCAGGCGGAGGGGGACGAGCCTGGCCAGCCGGGACCTGCGGGGCGGGGGGAGGAAGGGCGGCCACCGCAGGAGCAAAGTGAGGGTCGAAAAGAGCCGGGTCGACCGGGATGTCGCCGGCAGGGGGACGTCGTGCAGGGGCAGGGGCGCGAGGAACGCGACCACCTGCGGAGGCGGAAGGGGGTGCCGGCTGGGCAGCAGGAACCAAGACCGGACCCGGCACACCGGCAGCAGGAACCGGAGCGGCAGCGGCAGCAGAAACGGCGGGTGCGGCCAGGGGACCCGGAGCGGCAGGGGCCTGGGCGGGGAGGGGTCAGCACTGAGGTTGTGCTGGGCCACAAAATCCTCCATCGAGTCGAGGAACCCGATGAGAGGAGTTCTGTTGCCAACCTCCTTTGTCGTCCGCCGCATCCAGAGAAGCGACAGCATCAGCTGCCTCAACTCCGGACGGGCTATCCTTGCCACCCACGGGTGAGTACCCTGGAGCTCCAGGATGACGGCCTGCCAAAAGGCATCGGCTCCCGAGGCCAGCCACACCCCTTGCTGCTCGACCCTGAAAGTTGTCAATACATGTTTTTTTCATTCTTTTTTTTCAAAGTAACAAAATAGAAACACTTACATCTCCCCAGCCACCGCCGCCAGCTGGGTCCCTACCCACCTCACACTCGCCTCCTGGGGCAGGCGATCCTGCTGGAGTGCAGCCAGGATCCGCGCATCCCACCCCGGATTCCCTGTGAGGGGGCGTTCTCTATCACTTGGTCAGCAACAGAAATCCTTCACGCAAACCCGCATTAGGCCGGCAAGTGAAACTTACCCCGTTCGATGGTGAACGGCAAGGCCGTTCGTGGGGAGGAACCCCGACAGAACGTTGGGGTTCCGGGGCCTGCGCGGCATCTTCTTGTCGGCTTGGTTTATTCTGTTTTGCGAGGAGGTCAAGTGTTAATCTCACAAGGTTCACGCTTGTCTTGCAGGTATTTCTTACTATTGCTGGCGCAAGTCGAGAGCGAGGCAAAGACGAACTCGATGTTCGGATGGGTGGTGCGCTTCTAAAGTTGGTGAAGCTGAAGAAGGGAAAAGAAACCAGCAGGTGGGTGAGAAATTCAGTTGAGTTGTGTGTAAAACAGGCCAGAAAAAGCGGAGAACAACAAGTGACGAGGGGCACACTGGCGGAGCTCGCGAAGCCCTACTTTCGAAAGAAACGGGGGCAATGTCCACGCTCAGGGTGGTCGACTAGGAAAGTGCGATGGTGTGCGTGTCAGGACGCTCACCGCACAACCCATACGCATCTCATATATCTCCCAATGGTGAAAGACAGCATCCAACAAGGCAAATGAGGAAGTTGGCGATCATGCCCCTGAACCAACCAAGAGAATGCTAACCGTGCTGGCAAGCAATCGAGCCTGTGAAGAGCAACAAAGGTTGATTCACAGGGGAAACAGACTCCAAGCTACCCCCAGAAAATCAAAGACACTGAAGAGACGACACGACTCCGATGATCCATGTTCAACCAGGGAGAGTAGGCCCAACAGATTCCTTGTGGCCTGACCAAAATCACCTCTATTTCAAGTTGAACTTCACTAACAGCCAACTCCAAGCCTCCAGCCTGAGAAAACACTCTCTACACCATCATGCGGACGCCCTCTCCTGAGACCACCTTCTCGCAAAATAAAACACCAGGCCAAGCGCCCACAGCCCTAGCAGGATCACTGCTTGCGAGGGCGCAAAGATGGCTCCTCGGATGACGACGAACCCGCTCACCAACGCAAAGATAACCGGAAGAAGCACCGATGGCTTATACGGTCTCGCTAGACCCGGCTCTCGATACCGGAGAACGATGGCGCCCAGGACGGTGAGGAAGAAGAAGGTGTACTCGCCCAAGCCGTTGAAGGTCAGCAGCACTCGGAAGCTTCCGAGGAGGATATACACGGCGGATATTATCGAAGACAGGATGATGGCGTTGATAGGCGCGTCGGACTGTGGTTCCTTCGGGGTGTCAAGGGAGGAGCTGTCGTTGTCGCTCTCAGTGGGTTGAGCTCCCACTCTTCCCACGACGCTGAAGAGCTGAGGGAACCAGTTCATATTGGCGGCTGCGACAGCCATTCGCCCGGCAACGAAGGAGTTGCCCAACAGAGAGCCAGCAACGACCAAGCAGATCAAGACAGCAGCAACGGTTCCCGAAGCTGGGCCGAGGAAATGGGTGATGGCAGTCTTTGTTATTGTCATCAGACATCAGCGGCTCACGGGTCATAAACAAGAGAGTCGAGACTCACCACCGCGACACTATCGGTCGTAGAGACAATCTTCCATGGAAGCAGGATGTAATACGAGGCGTTGGCGGCGATGAAGCACAGGATAATGGTGGGGATGGAGGTGTTGATCGCAAGGGGCAACTGCTGCGCGGGCGCCGACAACTCGGCCGAGATGTAGATGGCCTAGACTCGGTCAGTTCTGAGCAGCTCTCTGTTTGCCAACAGCTCTCACCTTATCCCACCCAGAATACGCCCACAGGGCACCATACAATGCGGCCGAAAGATGCCCCAAGGTCTCCCAGCTGCTCAAATCCGCCCAATGGGTTGTGCTTCCATCAGGGTTGATGCTATCCCTGTAGCCAAACCACGGTCTCCTGTACCAGTCCGGAGGCTCCCCGTTCTCCTCGTCATCGCCGAGGAAGACGTGGATCGCAACAGCAGACAAGGCAACTAGGACAACCGCAGCGATGGTGACAAACTTTGTGCCAACAAAGAAGTTGTTGAGTCGGGTGCTCGCCTTGGTGCTGATCGAGTTCGCCAGGCTGATGAGTACGAGTATCCCAACTGAAAGCAGCTTGTGGACAATGTTTGCTTCTTGCCCAACCACCCCGGCAGCCGAGTAAATGCTCTCGACGAAAACGATGCTCAAGATGGCGAGCGTAGCCGGCATCACGGCCACGATCCACGTCCACGCCGCCAGGAAGCCAAAGACGTCACCAAAGATGTACTTGAGATACGGCTGCACGCCGCCTATCAGTCGTCAGCATCCGCAACTCTGTGCGAAATACATAAACTTACCCTCCCCTGGAATCGCAGTTCCCAACTCAGCCAAGGTGCTGGCCCCTGTCCACGCCAAAACACCCCCGACGAGCCACACCACCAGCGCAACTCCGGGCGACGGCACATTCGTGTCGGTTGAGCCCGGCGACGTGAAAACGCCACTCCCGATGACAATACTTATGACAATCGCAAACGCCTCCACCGTCCCGAGATTCCGAGTGAACGTGCCCCTTTCCGCATCGCTCGCCAAGTCGCTGACAGTGGCCTCCGACACCGCCACTGGCCGTTCACCCAGCAGTGGCTGCCGCTCCCGCGATGGTGGTTCGTCCTGTTGCGCCGTAACCATTTCGTTCAGTTTACGTTTTGGTGAGACGTTGCCCGGTTGAAGGTCGGGGATGACTCGAGGCGGATGGCTAATTATTGACTGGGGCTCCACCCTGGTCGCCCCGCACCCACTTCGAGCACGCGATCCATTTTGCCCCTGTCGTCGCGCGGCTCAGGGCCCGATGACGAATTGAGGCTGCGGGAGAGGCGGCAGGCTTGCAGCGGCGTGTGTGGGGGTTGCATTGTGGCGGACTGGTGGCCACAACCTCACCCCTCAGAAGTCGCTTTCCATGGGGAGGAAATTAACACAGTCTATAACGGGTCAGGTACTGAACAATTCTCTCAACCACCTGCAGGCTGTGTATAGTGACCCTTTGAGACTCGGCCTTGCAAGGCACCTGCGACTCCCCGCATCGATTACTCATGTTGCAGGGTTAGGGTCTCTGATCATACGGTCACATGCTCCCTCATGGGTCTCAAAACCTTGAATGCAAAAAGAGATGAAATGAACAATTCAGAGGAACATGAGTCTTGGAAGCTTCGAGCGGTCCCGGTGGAATGCTCAAGAAGACCGGCCGGTAGGTGGTGGTAGATTGTCGACGTTTGCGGCAAAACCTGGAGCCTCTGAGTCCAGCGCCCCGCTAGGCCCCCACCCGCTCCTGGAATCCCGCTGTGCAACATCAAAACCACAACCTTCCGGCACAAAGAAGCATCTTTGAATGGCTGCCCGCGTGGCGCAATTGGTCAGCGCGCCAGACTTTTATCTTCAAATCCCTGAGGACATCTTATCTGGATGTTGTGAGTTCGAGTCTCGCCGTGGGCAATTGGATTCCTTTGTGGAATTCCTTTTTTGTTCCTGATGGTTTTGCTGCGAAGGTTGCGGCAATGCATGATGCAGTCAGTGGTGGATGCCCGTGCAAGAACCGGGTTAGGGTTAACAGTGGGCTTGGTACGAGTGAAGCAGGATGGCTCCCCGAAGTGTGTATTTTGGCTCGCTGCCTACTGTGTTTTTTTGCAAAAAGACCATTTTGAGAACCAAAGTACGATAACTCTGATCTTGTGAAGGAAGGCGGCTCTTAACTGCCATCGACTCAATGTTGCGTGCGCTACAAAGTACGGAGTAGCACTGTGTGAAGTCTGATGTCACCCACGCATCCACCAAATTATGTGTTTGTGAACGTCACTGCCCGATTAATGGCAGGTTCAGGTGTAATTCCACAGTGGATTCTCCTGCAGCGGCGTTTACGAATAGGCGTTCGGACTGCCCGTGTCATAGAAATCACAAGAGTTCGGATAGTGCGGTGTCTGCACCTCGGCACCTTATCGATCAGCCCGCGCGATAGTTGCCGCGCTGCATCCCAAATTCCCGGGGAAGAGGACCCTTCTCCCAAACTCCGGACAGCCGGACCCTGAGGCATCCACATAATTCTCAAATGCGAACATATGGCCGAAGTGCAAAAAGAGTAGTTCCACAGCGCATGCAGACCCACAACCCCAAAGCACATTGCAGACATCTGAGACCCATCGAGAACAATCGGACGCAAACAACAACTCGAGCCGGTCGGTCGTCGCACCAACGTGACCGATCTGGAATGTCTCGATCAGAATTAAGATTCCAAGACACCGATAACCGATGAGCAATGCTGGCGAGGAGACCCTGGAAGCGGCTGTTACCGGGACCGGTGACGTCAGATGGGAACACCAGACGAAAGGCAAAATCCGCGCAGCAAGCCATCGTGGCATCGTGGAGCCGAGCCCGCTACAGTGGCAAGGTCAGGTGCGGGAAAATTCAGGGTCCAATGCGCATAGTGGTGACTCCGAGCAGCCGTAAGGCAGATTGCAACCGGCCGGAAAATGGCGTTGGTGCACTCTGGGCCAGCCGCGCTGCCGCATCACTCATCTCACTCGTGGCTTGCACACTGGCACGGATGCGACGAGGGCTTGTGCCATGTAACATGTTCATGATTCGCTGCCTACTCTCTACTTGATAGAAGGTGTCCGCAATACTCGTGTAGTACGGCCACGTCCAGAGCAACAAATACCTGGCCATAACGCCCTGGTAACATGACCAATGGTCCGGAGCGAGACAGACCGGACCCGTCATGAATCGAGTGATGATGAATGCGCAGCTTTTTTTCCTCTCCCCCAGACCGAGTTACCAAACCGTGGTATAGAACTGTTTCGGCAATGCCATAAAACCCAAATTCGCAGTGAACTCCTGAGCCTGTAATGCCACCCATGCCAAGTAACACAACAAAACCACCCCACTGGCCGTCGTAAAATCACAGTCCGCGCTAGACAAGAGCGCCGTTCTCCGAATAATAGTGTGTCGTGGTGTCAAGCGGTCCGTCGTAATCGTGCGTCGAAAGGCAAAGCCTTTCACACGCCACCGAGTCGAAGATGGCGAGCCCATGACGCCGTCTATGCGATGGCGCTCGCGTCACCCTTCTGGCGTCCGTAACACCGTCGTTTTTGTCGACAGTTCCATACTGCTAGCCATGCATGCCGCGTTTCCTCATCGCCCATGCCGTCCCATCTCCTCCATCCGAGAATCAAGCTCTCACTTCTTCGATTTGCTGCTCGTTGCCGTGATCTTGCTGGTCGTCATGAGATCCCCAATGTACTTCTGTAAAAACTTGTTGTTATTGTCGAGCTTGTCATGTTCCTCCTTGACTGCCTCGATCCTGTTGAATAGGACGACTAGGGAGTCTTGCAGCGCCTTGGCATGCCTGGACCTTTGTTAGTGACGATACAACACATCCATACGAATCTAACTTACTTTTGCAGCTCTTCCCTTGCTGCCTTGCCAAGCGTTTCGATGTCTTCGCTGGTTCTTCTCGGGCTCATCGACCTCACGTCGTCCGGCCCAATAACAGGCCCTACATCGGTCGAGTCGCGAGGCACGATCATGGTCCCGCTGCTCTTGCGGCTCGGCAGCCGCGGTCGTATGGGTGCCGGAGCGTGAATGTTGTGATCGATTGACGACCCTGACGATGAATCTGATCGGTAGCCCATGTTCCCGTTTGCTGAACCGCCGTCCTCCATTATTATTATGCGATACCGACGGTGTGGGTGCGAGCGTGCGATCGGAGGAACGCGGGTGCGATCGATGTTTAAGAGAGCGTGGTGGATAGTACGAATAGGCGAACCGTCTCCTCCGTCTCCTTAGCGCAACAGGTTTGTCGTTGCCACCATTCGTCAGTTGGCTGGCAGGCGGAGCGTTCTGTGTCTGGTTGCAAATTTTGGGGTGTTGGATCGGTTTTGGTTTTGGGGGGTGCAAGCAGACGGGGGCGACGGGAGTGAAGCGACGGCGCAAATCCGAGGGCGGCTTAGGCGAGCACCAAGAGCCTGAGGGCAAGTGGAGAGCAGGTCGCAGCGAGGTGAGTGCGATGCGGGTGGGTGAAGCCAACCAGAGCGTCGGGGGCGTGGCTTGTTGGTCGCCGGGGAAGGGTCGCCGGGGAGGTACGACGTCAGTTGTCGGGTGCGAATAGGCAAAAGGCGGCAGCGGCTTCTTGCTACGCGGAGCAGCGAACGGCGGGAGGGCGTGAGGCAGGCAACTGCCCAGAAGGGAAAGGAGGAGACGAGTGTGTATTCGACGCGGGAAATTCAAGGTGCGCGATTGGGGGTGGGCAAGGGGCGGGGATGGTCTGGCGGTGGGCGGGGCTGGTCAGGAGATGGGATATTTCTCAGTCCGGTTTCCCTGCCGCGATCAGCAAGCTGTGCCTTGCTGCGTCTAACGGCGACTGGTTGCGAGGGGTTGTTCGGTGTGGTCACAGGAATGCAAGGCCGGGACTTGGTTTGGGAGTTGCTGTTGCGGGAAGCGAGCTGTCGATCGGAACCTGGAAGAGGGGCGCCTGGGCAATTAAAGCTGGGAGAATGTCGACGCAGGATTAAGTGTTGTGCTGGACAATAGCGACGGCGCAATGCACGATCCAGAGCTTAAGATGCGAGGCGCAACTCTACGGCAATCTTCTTGGTCTTGGATTTCGCCGGCGTGGTGTTCCTGGTCAGAGGGGACCATGGGCGCACAAGCGTCCCGTGTCTGATTTCTCGTTCGGCGCCAGGGCCGGTAGCTGCCTGAGGCGTCAGACATGACCTGCCCCCACTTGGCTCCATTTTTGGGTTAGCTCGGGAATTGGCCAAGAGCTGATCGACAGCAGTGACGACACAAGGCTCCCTTTTCATTGGCGTGCCGAATAAGCAGCAGGGGTCCACGGCATGTCTTCGATGATGAAATGGCTGCAGGTGGTGAGAATCCCATGCGCAACCACGCCAATTCACAGCGTCTTCCCAAAACGGCACACGATGTGGTTTTCCCCGCCAGCGGCCGTCCTTTATGTCGCCTTGCAGATTCTGCAGCCTCCCCTCTGCTACTGCAACTCTATCGCCATGTCGAGACAGCAGACTCTCGTCGGGTTGAGAACAAAAGGCGCCACCGGGTTCGGTAACCTTCCGGTTCGACTGCAACCAGACGCTTTCGCGTCCTCAGCCGCCGCGTGGGAAGCTCCTTTTCCTGCGCATACCAGCCCCGCCGCCTTACTCATCTAGGCGATCGTCAGGACAGCCCATACACCCGCCGGATGGAGGTGACCCTGCGCCGTCCAAGTGCCACCCATTCTCGAGCCCGTGTCTTGGTTGTCCTTGTTTTGGAATCCCCAGCCGGCAACGTGTTACTGAACCCCGCTTCCAGGCGCACTTCGCAATTCCGAGTACCAGCCGGCCACGCGCCCCTTTTGCTGAACCCCCGAAGACAACAAGGACTTCCCATCACTCTGATAAAGCAAGCATGACAAGGTGACGCGCACGACGTCCCCAAAACTTACTCTTGTGTCGATACGGGTCGGCGCTGTGGCTGCCATCTCGGCAATCGGTTGAGCTCAGCGAAAGTAGACTTTCGACATGGCGGCCCCGGCTAGTTGGGTATCTTGGGGTGAGATTATGTCATGATCAGCGGTAACACCATGCGCAGCTGCCGCAGAGCAGCTGAGTGCTGTTCTGGTTCTGCGTCTCCGTATTTTACGCTTCACGTGTCTTCACCTTCTCTGCGATATTCCGTTGGCTCACCTAGACGGCGGGATGCTGACCGATAGCACGCAGTGCTCGGACGGCAATCGTTCCGAGCGGTACTTCTGCTGTTTTGCACCGTATCACCGAGTACACTACGTGGCGGCCTGCCCCCTGTGGCCGCGCTCCGTTGACAGCAGTGGCCTGATGCCGCTTAAATTACACTACCGCACCGATGGCCGATGTCACATCTGGGTTCATGTCATCTGGAAAAATTCGCTGAGGATCGTGGCCGGTCTCACAAGTGTCCACGGCCGAGACATTTGCATTGGAAGAGTTGGCAGCTGCGGTCCGGAGAAGCAAGGCTCAGCGGGCGCTGTCTCGGACGGGCCAACAAAGGGGAGCAAACAACAGCAAGCATCAAGGTCACCAGCCAGGCGACAACACGGGGCGACACGAAGTCATCAAGGCGGAATAGACGCTCGGAGTGACACAGCGCCAATGCTAGTCGCACTGTGTCCAGCCGCTGACGATCTGCTTGAGGGCCGATGTACCCGAGCGACGACCACAGATCAGCCAGCCTTCAAGAGATGTCACTGGTCACACCATGTCACCTGCTAGGAGTGGCTTGCTCGGCCGCGGGCAATCCCGCGAGTCAAAGATGAGCCAGTGGACTATGCGGCGCCATCCCACGGCTGCACGAAAAAAATATTCACCGGAGGCGGACGTCTGTCTCCGTCTTGCTGCCTTCTGCCTCCATCACCCACAGTCTATCACACACAACCCCCCGTGCCTGCGGATCGTAGTGTACAGTACGCC